TAAGTACAAACTCTTTAAACTTAGCTGGTAATGCCATTTCTCAACAATATATATATATATGATGAGTGCAAGAGAGCAATGGTGGACACACTAGCTGAGGTGGCAAGGAGAGCTCACTCGAGCAAAGTGAAGTTACTGGTTGTGGGCGACTTCAACCACAGGGAGATTTGATTGGGAAAACCTGGAGCCACATGGGGTTCCCGAAACATGGAACACCAAGATGATGGATGTGGTACTGGAAAACCTCATGCACCAACATGTTAGGGACACTACCAGAGAGAGAGGGGGAGGATGACCCAGCAAGACTGGACCTTGTGTTCACCCTGAGTAGCTCAGACATTGAGGACATCACATATGAAAGGCCCCTTGAAGCTAGTGACCACGTGGTTCTGAGCTTTGAATACATCATAGAGCTACAAGTGAAGAGGGTAACAGGAGTAGAAAGGGAAAAGCCAAACTATAAAAGCGGGGAACTACAGAGGTATGAGAACCTTCCTGCAGGAGGTTCAGTGGGAGAGAGAGTTGGTAGGAAAGTCAGTAAATGAAATGACGGACTACGTAACAACAAAATGCAAGGAGGCAGGGGAAAGGGTTGCTCCCAAGGGTAACAAAAATAATGGGAAGAACAAAACGAGCCCTTGGTTTACCCGAAGGTGTATGGAGGCAAAAAGTAAGTGCGCTAGAGAATGGAAAAAGTACAGAAGGCAAAGGACTCAGGAAAATAAAGAGATCAGTCGACGAGCCAGAAACGAGTATGCACAGATAAGGAGAGAGGCTCAGCGGCAGTATGAAAACGACATAGCATCAAAAGTCAAGTCTGACCCAAAACTGCTTTATAGCTATATCAGGAGGAAGACAACAGCCCAGGACCAGGTAATCAGGCTGAGGAAAGGTGTGAAGCTCACAAGAAATGACCAAGAAGTATATGAGGAGCTCAACATGAGATTTCAGGAAGTATTTACAGTGGAGGCTGAAGGGACACTGAAAAGACAAAACAGTGGGGTACACCAACAAGGGATATACCAACAAGTGTTGGATGAAAAACACACAGCTGAGGAGGAGGTGAAGAAGCTCCTAAGTGACCTTGATACCTCAAAGGCGGTGGGACTGGACAACATTTCTCAGTGGGTCCTTAGAGAGGGAGCAGGGACACTACGTGTGCCACTAACCACAATCTTCAACACATCCCTTGAAACTGGGCAACTACCTGAGGTATGGAAGATGGCAAATGTAGTCCCAATCTTTAACCCTTTGGGGGTTTCGGACATACTAGTACGTCTTACGACCCAGGGTTTTTGATGTACTAGTACGCCTAAATTCTATCGCCCTCAAATCTAGTGAAAGTAAGCTGGTAGGTCTATATATGTAAGAATGGGTCTATGTGGTCATTGTGCGCAGTATAAAAAAAATCCTGCAGCACACAGTGTGTAATAAGAAAAAAAACTTTGTGTTTTTGGATTAAAACAGCGAATTTGCACTGTATTTTCGTATGGTATTTATTGTATTCTAGTTTTCTTGGTCTCGTTTTATAGAATGGAAGATATATTACAGAAATTAAGATGATTTTGACTGGTTTTACAATGAAAAGTACCTTGAAACTGACCTCAAAGTAGCAGAAATGTTCAATTTTTACCAAAGTTCAAAAGTAAACAAATCATGCCAAGTGTCCAATACACATCAACTGGTGAGTCTAATATTCTTTCACAAGTGTGCTGATATCATTTATACCATTTCTACACTAATGCAGTAGTGTGCATAACAGTAAATCTTATTTTTTTTTTTAATAAATAAAACTTCAAAGTGGAAAGCCAAAGAAATATAAGAGGGGCCTGGGGATGTGACTAACGAACAGAGAACTTGCTATTTTAGTGCCAGGAATGTCTTTCTTGTTTATTCTGGACCCTATTCGGAAATTGGCATCTTTTGAAATTTGTGTGAAATTGGCAAAATTGCTAAATTCTGACCACTTAATTGGATAGTTGAAATCGGTAAATGGGTGGTTTCTTGTACTCCTTCGATAGAAAAAATGGAGTTTTAGCAAAATAGTTATGATTTTTGTCGACTAGTACACTGGAATTGGCCGAAAATAGGGCTCAAAGTGGGCAAAATCGCCGATGCGTAAACATCGTCGAGACTGCTAACTTCACGAGAGCATAATTCCGTAAGTTTTCCATCAAATTTCATACTTTTGGTGTCATTATGATCGTGAAAAGATTCTCTATCTTTTCATTAGAATTTTTTTTTCTTTGAAATTTGGCCGACCCTGAGAACAAGTCTCTGAGAGGACCTGTCAACCCCAAAAGGGTTAAGAAAGGAGACAGAAATGAAGCACTAAACTATAGACCAGTGTCACTGACGTGTATAGTATACAAAGTCATGGAGAAGATTATCAGGAGGAGAGTGGTTGAGCACCTAGAGCGGAACAAGGTTATAAACAACAGCCAGCACGGATTCATGGAAGGCAAGTCCTGTGTCACAAACCTACTAGAGTTTTATGACAAGGTAACTGAAGTAAGAAATGAGAGGGAGGGGTGGGGTGACTGCATTTTCTTGGACTGCAAGAAGGCCTTCGACATAATTCCTCACAAGAGATTAGTACAAAAGCCAGAGGATCAGACACATATAACAAGAAGGGCACTGCAATGGATCAGAGAATACACCTACCATCCGACTCACGACCGAGTTCGGTTCCGAGAAACCGGTCATAAGTCGAAATGGTCGTAAGTCGAACTTTACTACTGAATATCAACAAAACATTTTTGTAATGACTATTTTACTGTTTTATTTTGGTATTTCATGTTTCACTTTACTTTTTATGCTGTTAGTACTGTATTTTATACTGTAAGGTTTAGGATAAACACTGTGTACAACACAAATAGTTGTTTATTTCCCAGAAATTTGGCATAAAAAACACGGTCGTAAGTCGAGTGGTCGTAAGTCAAGCAGGTCGTAAGTCGGATGGTAGGTGTACCTAACAGGGAGGCAACAGCGAGTCATGGTCCTTGATGAGGTATCACAGTGGGCGCCTGTAACGAGCGGGGTCCCACAGGGGTCAGTCCTGGGAGCAGTGTTATTCTTGGTATATGTGAACATGACGGAAGGGATAGACTTAGAAGTGTCCCCGTTTGCAGATGATGTGAAGTTAATGAGGAGAATTAAATCAGATGCAGACCAGACAGGTCTACAAAGAGACCTGGACAGGCTGGATGCGTGGTCCAGCAACTGGCTCCTAGAATTTAGCCCCGCCGAATGCAAAGTCATGAAGATTGGAGAAAAACAAAGAAGACCGCAGACAGAGTATAAGCTAGGAGAAAGATCCAGGGGTGAGTATGATACTGAGTACAACGCCAGAATCACACATTAACCAGATAACTGCTGCGGCATATGGGCGCCTGGCAAACCTGAGAATAGTGTTCTGATACCTCACTAAGGAATCATTCAAGACTTTATACACTATGTACGTCAGGCCCATACTGGAGTATGCAGCACCAGTTTGGAACCCACACCTGGTCAAACACATCAAGAAATTTGAGAAAGTGCAAAGGTTTGCAACAAGGCTGATTTCAGAGCTAAGGGGAATGTCCTACAAAGAGAGGTTAAGGGAAATAGGCCTGATGACACTGGAGGACAGGAGGGTCAGGGGAGACATGATAACGACAAACAAAATACTGTGTGGAATAGACAAGGTGGACAGAGACAGAATGTTCCAGAGATTGGACACAGAAACAAGGGGTCACAATTGGAAGCTGAAGACTCAGATGAGTCAAAGGGATGTCAGCCACAGAGTTGTTAGGAAGTGGAACAGTCTGGCAAGCGATGTAGTGGAGGCAGGAACCATACATAGTTTTAAGACAAGGTAATAAAGCTCATGGAGCAGGGAGAGGGAGGACCCAGTAGCAGTCGGTGAAGAGACAGGGCCAGGAGCTGAGTCTTGGCCCCTGCAACCACAATTAGGTGAGTATACACACACACACACACACACAGACAACGACACAACACAGACACAGACACACACACACACACACACACACACACACACACACACACACACACACACACACACACACACACACACAGGAATTGAATGACAGGTTTAGAACTTTTGTTGACTGCAACAGAAGGCCCAGAAGTATTTTCAACTGAGCCTTGAAAGCATGACACTATGCATAAAATTATTTGAGTATCAGCCTCTTCAGTGTTACACCCTTACAACCATTAGAAAGTACTATTTGTATGTACAATACATCAGAGATAAAATATTCTCAGAGATAAAACTGCTATTATCTTGAGTGGCATAATGGAGTCTTATATAATTCACTGACATATTACACAAGTATGGTACAGCTTAGTGAAAATAATAGTGACAAAAGTTTTAGAAAGCATTATTGTACCTATGTCAAAATGATATATTTAACCATAAGTTTTACAGGAAATTTACTTCTAAATGATACAAGGAATTTTAAGGAAGCATAATGTATATAATTTACACCCTTTGTAAAATGAGATTCTGGAAATGTTGAGAGACTAGGATGGGCTAAGTAAGCTTCAGCTAATTAAATCAGATGAGAGCACATAAGGTTATGCTAGCAAAACATTTTTGACTCATGCATTTATTTAGGTTATACTGCTACAGTACTGGATTTTAAAGATAGTATTACAAATTACTACAATGTTTGCATTAAGCAAACAGTTATTCAGACAGCTGATATTTCTTACATACCACAAAACACAGTACTTTTAAAAAAATCCTGTTAACAAAAGTCTTGCTAGAAATGAGCATAATAAGGACTTTATAAAAACTATTACTATTATTTTGCCCACCCTGTACCAAACGTGACTTATATTTTTATAAATAAAATTTTGATAAATTATGAAGATTTAATCTAGAATAAGTAAGCAAAGTGAATGTAATTCATCTCCACTGATAAAACTAACTTATGCATCACTTCCAAGATATTAGTACTTAACATATAAATATTGATATAGTATAAAGATCTTACCGAGAAAACACAGGAATAGCAAGAGAAAGAAGAGTCCAGTCGGTACTGAATAACATCCTGGAAAAATAATTCTTACAATCTTCCACAGGCGGCTGAACATGTGCAATCTAAGAACCCAACATTTAGAATCTTCTCATCCTCCCCCTTTGCCGTATAGATCACAAACCATAAATTATCAATACCTGAAAAATAAATACAAATTTATTTTAGAAGTATGAATGCAATTGGCTGATCATTAAAGATATTATTAATGATGTGCATTTAACATGAAAAGAGGGAAAAGACAGAGGAAGGGGGAGGGAGAGGGGAGAGAGAGAAAGAGAGGGAAGGAGGAAGAAGAGATAGGGGGGAAAGATAAGGAAAAAGGTGATTGGGGGGTTTGAGGTGAAAGGAGAGAGGGTGGAAAGGAAAGAGTGAAAGGAGAGAAAGAGTTAAGGAGAGTGGAAAAAGAAAGTGGAAAAGAGAGTGGAAAGAAAGATGTGGAAAGGAGAGAAGGGGAAAGAATAGTGAAATGAAATGAGGGAATGAGAGAGGTTGCTGAAAATGAGTGACAAAGGAGAGAGAGAGGCCAGGGGGTCAGGTTAAAGGAGGGCAGAGACTAGGGTCAAAGGAGACAGGGGCACAATAGAAATGGTTACAAGGGGAACTCTAAGCCAATAATCTTGTATTAGCACCACTTGCTTTAGTGATGAAATGGAATACATTTTTTGCTAATTTACTGGTAAAAAACCTTTTAAGACACCTAAAACAATCGTTGCCATTACCGGATACTCACACAACCATCCCAAATTTCAGTGAGAATTTAAAGTCACTAATAACAAACAGACAACATAACTAAACCAACCAGGCTCACTGAGACAAGTGCAACCATAATAGACCACATATGGACCAATATACCAGCCCCCCTTAAATCAGGGATAATCACAGATAGCACTACAGACCACTACCCTACCTTCTCCTGACAAACATTAATAAACCACAACTTGATAAACAACAAAGTCTCATTTAGACATCCATGACGCGGCCTCAATAAGGAATTCACAACAGAGAACTATGATTGTTGACTGGCCTACAGAATTCTCCAAGGCCAATGGTAACTGATGACTGACAGACATTTTTCTTAACAAATTACTTAGAACTCTACAACCAAACATTGTCCTATAAAAAATGAAACAGATCACAAACAAACCGGCTTGTTGCCCATGGCTAACCAGCCCAATCTGAAATCCATTGACAAGAAACACCAATTATAAAAGCATATATACAGGGCTTTAATAACAAAGATATTCTTTAAACACTATTCATCAGCTTCTCACAAAGTAATAAGAAAGCCCAACAACTATACTCTCCAGTAGGATTCACAGACACTAGAAGGAGATAAAGAAAAGACCTGGAAAACACTCTCAGTCTATATTCTAGGGACCCACAAACTGAAAAAAAAAAACAAGAATATTGTCCTAACTAAACCCTAATGAAACCCCACTCAACCCACTGACACAGCAACAAGATAAACGACTTCTCTCAACCATAGATCTAATCTCGCCAATAAAATCAAAATCCCACATACTAATGCCCATGCCGGGACTACCTAGATGGGAATTTCCCACATTCCTATCTATCTTGGCACCAACTGAGCCCCCGGAAGCACCGGAGATTATAAAGTCACTTAACAACAACTCAGGGAAATCTGTCTAATGTCCCACCATTACTGTACAAGCAGCGCCCATATCCTTTCAGCATGCAATTTCATTACTTTTTGAACAGTCACTAGAAAACTAGGACCTTCCCGAAACTACACAAGAGGCAAGGATTGCACCATACATAAAGGTTGTGACTCCTACAGACTTAAACAACTATAGGCCAAAATCAAACTTACCATAGCTATCCAAAAATCTTTGAGAATCGTCGTGCACAGGAGACTATATTCATTTAAACAGCAACAAAACATACTCAACCCCTGCCCAATTTGGATTTGGAAAAATAAAAGCACTAATGATGCAATCATAAAAAATGCTAGATCTGCATTACACACATGGAAAATAAGGAATATCACTAGGAATTGTTATGACCTAAGAAAAACCTTTTTGACACAGAGAACCCACTACATCCTACTCCACAAACTTACCATTATACGGTATAAGATGCCCATGCGCTTGCTTATTTCAAATCTATTACCTACAAACGTATCAGTATGTTTACCATTAAAGGCACAGCATCAGACAACACGGCCACTTGATACTGGAGTTCCGCATGGAAGTGTCCTTGGTCCCGCTCTTCCTCATATACATTAATTGAACTTCCCAAACCTTATCCCCAACACCGAAAACCATTCCCTTAGCTGACCGACACGACTTAATTGTCATCTCTCACCCTAATCTTGCCTCCCTCAACACCATTTTAACGAGGAGCAGATCAAATATCGACTTGGATGACAGCCAATAAACTTACGCTTAACACTGACAAAACCAACTATATTATGTATGTAGCAGAGCAGGATAAGCACAAATTAACATTTAAGATCGACAACACTCCTAATTACGCATACATAATTAGGGCAAATTCCTAGGGCCTATACCTTGACAACAACTCTGAATGTTCAGCACCCATATCCAACACATAAACCAAAAAAGTATCCAAAACAGTGTGGGATCCTCTCCAAGATACGATACTACTGCCGCAAAATGCACTTCTCACACTATAGCCACTCACGTTATTAACCTACCTCACCTATTCTATTTGTGCTATGGGGATCACTGCAGCAACACATCAAAATCCAATATAACCCCCAACAAAAAGCTGCAGTACGAATCAACACTAAACCCATCCATGGCAACACACCCCCCACTATTCATAGATCTAAACTTACTTCCCAGTTCAGTACATCCACACTCACCTACTGTGCAATCTACATCAACAGGATCTTAAAACTCCAATATCAACCTTGACCTAAAATGCTTTCTTGATGTTGTGACAAACCCACAGGCATAAAACAGACACAAACACCTCTACGACATTCCCCACGTCCGACTAAACCTTAACAAAAAATTCAATGTAAGACAAAGGCCCTAAAATCTGGAATACCCCTACCTGCAGACTCAAGAAACAGCAACACATTCAACACCTTCAAAACTACCATTAGAAAACATCTAATCTCCCTGATAAACCCCATTAACTAACTACAACATACAACGCATACCACCTGTGGTTCACACTTACACTCACCTCACACATTTGACCATAAAACACGAAATATTAATCTCAATCTTAAAATAATGAATCCTATGATACTCCAATACTGAAACAATGTACTGTGGCCAAAACAAAAGCAATCACATTGCTAAACTCACAAACTAGTATTTAGTCACTTAGCCATAATACCAACTTACCTCATAATTTGTAATATTTTAAAATAAAGAATTAAACTAAGACTGCCCGAATGCCTAGCCATGCAAGGCGTTCTAGTGTACACTCTTTGGGGGGGGTAATCATAATTTAACTACATGTAACCCACACAACAACCAATTCTTGTAACTTCAACATTGTAATCTTTAAAGAGAATAAACTTTGAATTTAAATTTGAAAGGGCACAGGAGACAAGGGATCCTCTCCAAGATACGATACTACATGCCGCAAACTGCCCTTCTCACACTATACTATTCACTTATAAATCCATACCTCACCTATGCTATCTGTGCTTGGGGTTCAACTGCAGCAACACACCTAAAGCCAATAATAACCCAACAAAAAGCCGCAGTAAGAATAATCATTAAATCCCATCACTGGCAACACACCCCCCCACTCTTCATAGATCTAAACTTACTCCCTGTTCAGTACATCCACACTTACTACAGGCAATCTACAGCTAAAGGACCTTAAATTCCAATTATAACCTTGACCCAAATGTTTTCTTGATAGTTGTGACAGAACCCACAGGCAAACACCAGACACAAACGATCCTCAATGACATTCCCTTGTCCGACAAAACCTTTACAAAAATTTCCAATGTATGTCAAAGGGCCCTAAAAATCTGGACAACAACCCAACCTGAAAATTCTAAAACTGCAGACACATTCATCACCTTCAAAACTACCATCAGGAAAACATCTTATCTTCCCTATACACCCTGTCAACTAATACAACACCAATACCACCTGTGGTTAACACTACACTCACTCACCCCATTTGACCATAAACAAAATATTAATCTCAATCTTAAAATAATGAATCCTATGATACTCCAATGCACTGAAACTATGTACTGTGCCAAAACAAAAGCATACGACATTGCTAAACTCAACAAACTAGTATTTAGTCCTTAGCAAATACCAACTTAACCCATAATTTGTAATACAGTGTGACCCCCTCTAACGATTACCTCCGAATTGACCATTATGTAAGTGTAATTATGTAAGTGCGTTTGAAGTGTATGTTTGGGGTCTGAAATGGACTAATCTACTTCACATAGTTCATATGGAACAAATTCGGTCAGTATTAAAAAAATTGCACCTGAACATACTACATGGATTGAAAAAATATCGTTAACCGGTGTTCCACTGTATTTTAAACTTTAAGATTTAATTTATTTCTGCCCGAAATGCCTAGCCATGCTAGGTGTTCTAGTGGTACACTCTGTAATTATTATTTTACTACATGTAAACCACACAATAACCAAATTCTGTAAACTCAGCATTGTAATCCTTAATGAGAAAAAACTTTGAAAATGAATTTTGAAGGGCACAGGAGACAGAGGCACAGGAGACAGGGGCACAGTAGACAAGGGCACAGTAAACAAGGGTACAGGAGACAAGGGTACAGGAGACAAGGGCACAGTAGACAAGGGCACAGTAGACTAGGGCAAAGTATACAAGGCACAGCATACAATGCAGTAAACATGTAGACAGGGTCACAGGAGACAGGGCACAGTATACAGGGGCAACAGAGACAGGAGCACAGGAAGACAGGGGCACATAGACAGGGCACTATTAGACAGGGGCACAGGAACAAGGGCATCAGAGATAAGGGCACGAGGAGACAAGGACACAGGAACAAGGGCACAGGCGACAATGGGCACAGGAGACAAGGGCACAGGAGACAAGAGGCACAGGA